TGGTCTCCATTGTGGTTCTTGGATTTTGTTGATGAGTTAAAATGTCCTAAAATAGATGCTCTGAAGATATACCGGTTGCTTCCTGGAATGGATCTTGGTCGTGGCCTTAGGGTGATTGAGTCAGATTAAGAGACATTGATGATGACTGGCATTGTTGACAGGGTGAAGAACCTTATTGTCTATTTTGATCATGATAACTGCATGCCTGGCATAAACTGGGATGACATAGTGGCAAACCCAATTGCTTCACTGTCCGAAGTAATCAGCCCAGCCAAGGGAGGATTTGTTGGGAAGGAAGAAGGAGAAGAACTGCCACCATTTGAAATGGAGCAGGATTCAGTGCAGCATGATGTGCATGGAGATGATGGTGACAGTGAAGATGACTTTGAAATGGAGCAGGATTCAGTGCAGCAAGATTCAGTGCAGCATGATGTGCATGGAGATGATGGCGACAGTGAAGATGACTTTGATTTTAGTGATAGTGATTATGATTTAGAGGGAGATGATGATGATATTTTTGTGGACTATGTTGATGAGGATGCCACAGAGAAGACTGGCAACAGAAAGGTAAGGGCAAGAAGGCTGTTGGTAGCAAACTGAAGGGAAAAAATGTTTGATCTTTGGCTAGTTATGGAGAGGAGTCAACAGATAAATCTGAGCTAGAATTGCCAGAATCTGATGAAGAAGGACAAGGTCTAAGGTTTAAGTCATTCAGAAGTGAAGACATAGACAATCCCATCTTCAAAGTTGGCATGATATTTGAATCAATTGAGATGCTCAGGAAGGCTATCACACAATATAGCATGAAGTAGAGGGTAGAGATCAAGATGCCCAGGAATGAGAAGAAAAGGTTGAAGGCTCATTGTGCAGATGGGTGTCTTTGGAATTTATATGCTTCAAGTGATAGCAGGACTCAGGGGTTGATGATCAAGACTTATCATGGGCAGCACACTTGCCAAAGGAAGTGGACATTGAAGAGATGTACCTCAAGGTGGCTTGCTCATACATACTTAGAGTCATTTCGGGCTGACCAGAAGATAACACTAACTAACTTTGCGAGGACAGTCCAGAAGGAATGGAATCTGACACCCCCAAGAACTACACTTGCTAGGGCCAGGAGATTTGCTATGAAGGTGATACTTGGTGATGAAGAAGTGCAGTACAATAAGTTATGGGATTATGCACATGAATTGAGAAGAAGCAATCCAGGGAGAACTTTATATCTTAATCTTGCTGGAAACCTATTCTCATCCTTGTATGTTTCTTTGGATGCCTGCAAGAGGGGCTTCCTAGCTGGTTGTAGACCTATAATCTGTCTAGATGGTTGCCACCTTAAGACTAAGCATGGAGGGATAATGCTCACTGCAACTAGAATTGATCCAAATGACTGCATTTATCCAATTGCATTTTGAGTTGTAGAAGTTGAGTCTCTGGCTACTTGGAAGTGGTTCTTGGAAACATTGAAACAAGACTTAGGTACCCATGGACTGTCATGACTGACAAATAGAAGGTACCAGCTTTTGCGCATCTTCTTAACTTGCAGCTGTAGTATTCATGCTAATCTATTCTTGTGCATTTGCAGGGTCTAGTACCAGCTGTTGCATAGGTTTTCCCAGATTCTGAACACAGGTTCTATGTCAGACACCTATATTCCAATTTCTAGATGTGATTCAAGGTGAGAACTTAAAGAACCAACTCTGGACTTGTGCTAGGTCAACCACAGTAGTTAAATGAAACGAGAACATGGAGAAGATTAAGGTACTTAACCAGAAAGCTTTTGAATGGCTAGAAAAGATGCCACCAAATTCTTGGGTTATGGCTTTCTTTAGCACTTTCTTCAAGTGTGATATTCTACTAAACAATAGTTGTGAGGTGTTTAATAAATACATACTAGATGCTAGAGAAATGCCTATCTTGAGCATGTTAGAGCAAGTCAAGACACAACTGATGACAAGGTATCATACAAAGGACAAGGATATAGGGACTGTGTGGGATGGTACTATTTGCCCCAAGATAAGGAAGAAACTTCATAAGAATTCTCAGTGGGCAAACACCTGTTATGCACAACCTGCTGATAATGTCATTTTTTAGGTCAATGTGTTGGACAGACAATACACAATAGATCTAGGCATTAGGCAGTGTGATTGCAAGAGGTGGGAGTTGATCGGTATCCCTTGCTCTCATGCTATATCTTGTTTGAGGATAGAGAGAATTCCTCCTGAGTCCATGGTTCATGAGTGCTACTCTACTGCAACCTACCTGAAAGCATATGGTCCTAAGATTTATCCTTACAAAGATAGGAGCATGTGGCAGAAAGTTTAAGGACCAAATGTACTTCCACCAGTCTATAAGAAAAAAGTTGGCAGGCCACCCACGAACAGAAGGAAGCAACCTCATGAAGTCATGGGCAAGTTTGGTCCTAAAATGTCCAAGCATGGTACTGTCATTACTTGCTCTTATTGTGGAACAGAAGGGCATAACAGAGGTGGTTGCAAGCTGAGGAAGACTGGGATCAGGCCTGAACTACAACCTCAAAACAAACCAAATGTGGATCATGGCCAAGAAGGAGGATTAGCTGAAGGTTTTGAAGAACCAGTTACTAGCCAAGTAAGTGAAACTCATTTAGCATGTCAATTGGATTAATAGTTCATACACTCTGAAGCATGACATTGTAGGCTTCCATGCAGTTTGAAGAGGGGAGCCAGCCAGTGCTATCAAATATGACAGAAACTGTCCTTTCTCAATTGCATGCAAATGTAAGTGCATATAAACTTCGTCCACTCTATCAAATTAAACTTGTAAACACCTAACTTGATTCCATGCAGTCCTCACAAACAAGCAAAAGACAACTTCACAAGGAACCATTGCCAGATTCTACATTCATCAGGAGGAACCAGCCTACTATGGTACCAGTGCCCCCTACCACTGCAAGCAAGGCTGGAAGAGAAAGATTGAAGCGCAATACGCCGAGTGGCCCATGTAATCAGTAAGGTAAGACCAAGAAGAATACAACTAGCAAGACAAAAAGGCTTGAAGACCTGTGAATGTGGTCTATGATGCTTTTGTATAGGTCAATAGGCTCACTGTGCCAGTTTTATGTGAACTTGTAAAGCAGCAGCAAAAACATCTTAGTTGATGCTTTAGGCTTATTTTGCTTTCTTTTGGTTCTTCTAGCCAGACAGGAAAGATAGATACATCTTTTGAATCTTCCATATAAGCACAGGAAGATAGTACTTAGTGCCTTACATCCATGACAATGGCATGTGCGTCTCAATGTCCTTGGTAAATGGTTGATGGACACAAAATCTATGACAATACATCATCCTATTATGGTTCCATCTTGAGGAATTGACATTACAAGATCTGTGAACATCATCTTGTTGTTATTCAATGATGGTTTCATACATGGATTGATAACATTACTGAACATATGCATTGATAACATAATGTTGCTCAAAACCAACATGATTGCTGAATCCAACATTATTGAATACACAAAACCAACATGAATCCTTGTGACAGCCTTCAGCAACACAAAAGCAACAGTACTGATTACACATTTACCTACTTCACCAACAGGACTAACAGAACAAGAATGAGCACAAACAGTAGAGCAACACAGACTACAAATATAGCCTTCAGCACTATGACTACTTTCACCATTTCGGCAGATACAGCTTCCCTCTTCACCCAACCATTGTTGCGTACTCCTCCATCAGTGTTCATCTTCAAATCAGGGGATTCCACCATGGCTGTGCCTGCATTGCTGGGATTTGCTTGAGCACCAGCAGTGTTCTTGCCGAACATCACCTCCAAGTACTCCTTCTCCCACTTCCAGAAAGGGCAACCGGTTCCATCTCGCTACAAAATCCCTAATATCAGCTTCGAATATAGCAAGAACAAGAACTTTATCTTAATTGAACCACTAACCTTGTAGAACGGGCAACAGTAGAACGTCTGCCCAAAGCTCCATTCATGCTTTGATGCCCGACGCACCACCCTTGCCCGTCCGCACTCCCTGCACTAGATCAGCGGTATATCGGCTGGATCTGCCGTAGACGCCCTTGATTCGCTAGCCATGGTGCCTCCGTCGCAAGCCGCCGCTCCCCCGCCGCCGCCTCACCCCCAGCACGATGAACTTGAAGAAGACAAGATTTTGGAGATGGGCAGATGCGGAGAGCCCTAGATGCATATTGTCACCTGCGTTCGGTATTGAAACGTGCGGCGCACGTGCTGCCACGTCGCCTGGAGGCCGCGCCGGATGGGAAATGGGCCTGCGGTGAACAAATTGACAAGTTCAGGACCTATTTTTTGCGTTTGCAAGTTCGTGGACCGGACTGGCACAGACCGACAAGTTAAAGGGCTGCCAGTGTATTTCACTCTTTACTTAAAAAAAAATCTGTTTTAAATGAAGATGATCCCCATCTCCAACTACTTTTTGGTATCGCTGCACAATTTCACCTTCACCCGGAGATCACCCACCCTTCAGTTTTGGGAGGACCCGGAGAGCACCTGAGACGCCATCACGCCACGCCACCAACAACTCAGTCAGAACTATTCCTTCGGAGTTCGGAGAACAAAGTAAAGCTTCGCATTTGGGCCTACAATAGATCTCACTTTGGTTGGTGCAGATGGCCCAGCGCGACTGACCGAGGCGTGTGGGCTCAAATAAGCCCAATGGACCAGAATTGAGACTTGAGAGACCCAAACATCGTGGGGGCCCTGCTTCTCGCCTGCCTGTCCATCAATGGCGGCCTCGACCTTGTCCCCCAAAACGCCCGACGGCGCTCTAGTCTCCCTTTGGTGTCGTAGGTGTTCGATTCCAGATTCCAGATTCCAGATTCCAGATTCCGTTCTGCCGTTCTTCATTCGGCAGTACGATTTACATTCCAAGTTCTTCAGATTGGAATCCAGACGCGAACCAGGAGATGGGAGGATTTGGAATCAGTAGATAGAATAAAAGAGGAGCAGCAGGTCGAAGGTAGCCCCCGCTTTCGCCGATGGTTACGGCGGCGGAGAAGAGCCCCGAAAGGGAGGAGGAGTCGAACCCGCGCGCGGAGGCTTTTCTGGAGATCATCTGCCGCGTCCCGGCGGGGGAGGTGGAGGCGGCGCTGTCCGCTTGCGGCATCGGCCCCACGGCGGAGGTCGAGGAACTGGTGCTCAAGTCCCTCGAGTGCTACAAGCGCCCCAGGTCCGCCGTCCGCTTCTTCCGCTGGGCGGGGCACTCCGTGTCGCACACCGCCTACGCATGGAACCTCCTTGTCGACATCCTCGGCAAGGCCGCCATGTTCGAGTCCATGTGGGACGCCATCCGCTCCATGAAGCAGGAGGGCGGTGACGGCTGCGTCTCCGTCGCCACTTTCGCCTCCGTCTTCGCCTCCTACTGCGCCAGTGGCAACCTCAAGGATGCCATCGCGGCCTTAGACGTCATGGACCGCTACGGCCTCAAGCCCGACGCCGTCGCGCTCAACTCGCTGCTCTCGGCGATCTGCCGCGTCGAGGGCCGGGGCAGGCGGCGCACGACGTCTTCGAGCGCACCAAGGCTACCATCCCACCCGACGCCGACACGTTCGCGATACTGCTCGAGGCATGTGAGAAGGAGGGGAACGCGGTGCGCGCCAAGAGCGTCTTTGGCGAGATGATCGTCCGCGTTGGCTGGGACGCAGCCAACGTGGCCGCGTACGACTCCTTCCTCTCCACTCTCGTCCGCGGCGGCCTGTTCGACGAGGCGTTAAAATTCCTGCAGGTGATGCGGAGCAAGGGCTGCTTGCCGGGGATCAATTTTTTTGCTACCGCTGTGGATCTGGTCGTCCGCAAGCGTGACTACCCCAACGCCGTAGCCATCTGGAACATGATGGTCTCTGAAGCTGGCCTCGTTCCCAATTTCCCAATGTACAACGCCATGATTGGCCTCTACTGCAATGCTGGTAGCATGGACTATGCCCTTGGGATGCTTGATGAAATGCCCCTCAACGGCGTCTTTGCAAATTCTGTCACATACAATACCATACTGGAGGGATTCACCAAGCATCGCAAGGCTCGTGAGGCTGAAAGTTTCCTAAAGGAAATGAGCAAGAATGAGCAACTGCCTACTGCATCCAATTGCGCTGCTGCTATCAGCTTGTTCTTTAAGGAGTTTAACCCATCTGCAGCAATCGACATGTGGCGCTGTATTGTGGAGCACAACATTACCCCAGCTGAGGACTCTGCCAAAGAGCTAATAGCAGGGCTGCTTGATTTTGGCAGGTTAACTGAGGTGAAGAGGCGTGCCGATGAGATGATTGACATGAGAGTTGAGTTGTCACGATCCACGATGGAGAATATGAAGCGTGCTTTTGCTAAGGCTAACAGGCACCAAGAATATGACCACATTGCAAGAAGGCTGAAGCGATATTAGCTACACACCTGAATGCTTTAATCAGCCGGTATGTCTTCTTTCCATATGGGTGTATTGACTGTGTTAGTGATTGCCACTGTTTGTATGTGATTGCTGCTCATTTCATCTTGTGTTATTCACTTCCTAATTAGGCCTCATGGCATTTTTTTTTGTTGAACTGCCAAGTGGTATTATTAAACTTGCCTAGTTCTTGTATGTGTCAAGTCTTTGTTGCTCTTGGTTGGTGTTACTCTCCTTGTCTTGGTAAATAGAGTCCTTTAACACAATGCAAGGCCTATAGAAAGGACTGTAATATGTTAACATATTCCTTTGATTGCCTCTCACCTCTTTCTTTGCCAAGCCATTGAATGTTTATTCCTTTTTTCCATTACCATTTATGGAATGTCGAATCAGCTTGCACCCAAACTTTTTGAGGAACTTGAATAAAGAGAGAACTCACATATTTGATTCATTGAATGTATGTTTCCCCACCTTTGGTCTAATGACTCCATTGTTATGTCCTTGTTTTAGGCTTTACTAATTTTTCTCTTATAACTATCATTAGTTGTGTTGGTCTTACCAAAATTTCTTACAAGCCAAGTGCTCTTGATATTTTGATTACCTAGCACAAGGGAAGTGATTCATGATCTGATTCAATTCCCTTTGATCAACTCCTTGTTTTGCTATTTTGGCATAGCTGAGTCGTCATATTTTAGCTTAGGTTTAGCCAAACTAACATGGCTTGGCAGATGAATTTGAGATTCTTAACCCTGAAGCTTTCAAGACTTTCTTTCCTTGTCATACGCCAAAGCCAAAAGGTGGTGTCTGTTGTGCAATATTCTTCTTTCCTTGTACCCTATTCACGGTTATTAAGGCGGTAAGGCGAGGCGTGGTGACCCACCCCCTTCCAGACGCCTAGGCGAATAAGGCGTGTGGCGAGGCGATGCCATACACATACCCTCACCTACATTAGAGCAGGACAAACATACATTGGTATGCACCTTTTTGCTGCCAATTTTAGACTCTATGCAAGTAGCCACCACCCACTAGCCAGAGCAGTTTATACCCCTATCCAATTATCCAAGCACAAGCAACATCCCACATCACAGGGGTATATCATCTAAGTACAAGATCCAAAGCATAAGCAAATAGGCAATATAATCTAGACTTCTGACAAGAGGAAGGACAGAACAAAAAAAGCAGAGGAAAAGCAGAGGAGGGGAAAAGAGGTACCCGTGAGCCTACATGAAAGGGTGATGGGCCTGGCCTCTGGCAGGGAAGCGTGCAGCGGAAGAAGACGCAGAGCCCATGTAGGAGCGGAAGCAGGCAGTCCTTGACGGGCACAGGTCAGAGGCGCGGATCGGCGAGCGAGGACGCGGCGCGAGGTTGGATGTCGAAGACACGAGCGGACGGATTGGAGGTCGGAAGGCCGTGGAGCAGTAGCAGGAGCCGCGAATTGGCGAAGCAGAGGGGGCGGAAGCGGCTGGATGGGATAAGGCGCGTTCCAGGTGCTACCGCCGCCATCGATCTCATCTCTTTCCCTCCCGTCTCTCAATTGGCGAGCTGCAGGGTGTGGCGCGTCTCCGCGGAAAGTATAGGCGCGCGATTTCCCCTGCGCGCGCACCTCCCTCTTGTTTTCCTGTGCGATTTTACCTACGCGTGCAGCTACCTTTCGTTTTTTTCTCCGCACGTGCATCGCTCCGCACACTTCTCCTTACGCCCGCAGCCGCCTTTTTGCTCTTGCGCCGTCTGTCCGACGCCTTGGCGACGCCTTTACGTGTGAGGCGATGTCATATACAGGGAGGTCGCAGCAGGCACGACGCCTCGATTGGAAAATCGCCCAGATAGGCGACGACTAGGCGACGCCTTAATAACTTTGACCCTATTAGTAGCTTTCCTAAATGTTTTTGGTCATAATGGAGAAAGATTTTATTGCACTATGAAGCATGGGATTTACGTGGATTGTTGCTCATATTAGGTACGCTTTAATGTTTCTTCCATGTGGACCCTAGAGCGTCTTGACATGTGTTTAGGAACAAACCTCTTGATTCATGTAGTTTCAATGGAATTAAATGAAATGACCACATGACAATGCCATATTGTCGGCTACAAAATGTTTATGTTTCCATCCTAGAAAGTTCTTTGGATGATGCAAGTGAGCTAATGAGAGAATTCAATATGTGCCTTCATTGCCAAGACATAGTTCCTCTACTCGAGATCTAACATGGAGACAACACATAACATGATCTTTTCTCTTGATCTCACATCAACCGACGCTCCTTAGTAAATACCTTGCGCTCTTGAATTGTTTTGGCCTCCTGTCATCTCGTGTCCTTCATCTTCCTCTCTTTCTCCATTGCAACTTCTGAATTGCATCCTTGTATAATGCACCATCTCCTCCTGTCTTCCTTCGCTACTCCTTTGCACGCCTCATTCCAATGGGCCTCTTTCCTTGTGATGCTTGAGTCGAATCAGCAATTTGTTTGCTCTTCCCACCTTCATCTGCTTTGTCTTCACCACAAAAGATTGGATTAGCAGCTATGTCATTGTTACTCTTCTGCGTCTTCCCACCTTTGTGGCGAGTCAAGTGCTTGAAACTTGGGTGAGTTCCTCACTTTGAGCAAACAATGTAGGAAAGGAAATGACCTCTTATTTTCCAACCAAGTCGTCGTTTGGACGTCGCACACGCGGGAGAAAAAGGCATGCAAAAAGGCACTGCATACGGGAAAGAAAGGGAATCGCGTGCCTATAGCTCTCCTGCAAGTAGGCGCCCATTGGGAATCCGTGTGAGTTGAGGGAGGGGGGGGGTTAGTGATGAGAGACGGGGAGAGAAGAGGGCCGCCGCCGCCGCTGTCGCCTGCTCGTATCGATCCTCCGCTTGCCCGCCTCAATCCACGCCCCTACCCCTCCGCTCTTGGATTCGTGACTCCTCGACGGCCTCAACATTCACGTCGTCGATTCGCGCCTCCAACCTCCGCTCGTTGATTTGGCCTCAACTCCCTCTGCTCTGGCTTCTTGCCAATGGTTCACAACATAAGTACGCCTTCTGTCTTCCTCCCCTCCCGTTCCTCTATTCTATGTTGTTGTTTGTTCCTTCCTTTGCTTGGATAGTTGAATTGGAGTGTATATTTTGGTTTGCTGCTTTGTGCTAGGTTGTTGACTGGTTGTGCTTGGCTCTTCTCTACTCTATAGCCAACAAGGCAACAACACAATGGAGAGTCCAGCTGAATACGATCCCAAGAATGATCCAAAACGTAGACCACTGAACTCGAATGATTCAGGATGGGTTATGGTTATTGGACAAGTTCCGTGACAAGAGAATTATAGCAGGAATTAAAAGATTGAAGAAACATCTAGCTGGTGGCTATAGAGATGTGATTCCATGTCCAGAGGCTGGCACTGAACTAAGGAAAATGATTCAAGAATGCTTGGATGCTACTAACAATGCTGATGAGTTTGATGATGATGATGTATACTAAGAGATGAAAGGCAAGAGTTGGGTGTTACGTCATTAGTAATTAAGTGGTGTCATTAGAGTCTAATTTGTTGCTATTGAGAGGAGAGATTTCATATTTGCTATTTTGCTACTTTATGCTGTGCACTAGTACTCTAGTGGCACTACTTATTATGGTATTACAAGCTAAGAACCGGCAATCTTAAAGTATAATTGCTTTTACATTCTATTAGTGTCATTATATATTATAAGATATTTGTATGGCATCACCTTGCCTCATGCCTTAAATGCCTAGGCGTCTGGAAGGGGTAGCTCGCCATGCCTTGCCTTACCGCCTTAATAACCATGATATGGATATGGCTTGGGTTGGACATGCAGCTCTAGCCCTGCCGGCCAGCCCATGTGCCTGTGTTGCCTTGAACTCTAAGTCTTGCACACCTATAGATTGAGTTGTATTTGGCAAGGATATCGAAGGATGGTTCTGTTTCCATGAGCCGCCCCTATCCACGCCTATATATACATGTACCTTGTACTCGAGATATCAATCTACTATTCTACATATTCTCACAACTTACATGGTATCAAGAGACCGGATCAATCCGATCATCTCCTTCCACTTCCCTTCTTGCGTCTCCTCCTCAATCGCGTGCCTCACACCATGTTCCCCGCGTGTCTCCTCCTAACTGATCGATCGATCTCGCTTCCCTTCTATCTCCGTGTCGCAGTGCCGCCCGAACCCGATCTCCTGCGCTCCACGTTCCTCCTCGTGTCGTGGCGCCACCTGGACCCCGTCATGTATGGCGATCCCTCATCCATTGCCACTATTGCTGCTACCGCCTACCTGGGAGTAGGCCGCCATTGTCGCCAAGGATCGAGAAGCCGCTGTCACAGCTGTTGTCCCTCAGGACCTAGTAGCAGCCACCATTGCTACCGCCAAGACCTGTGCTGACGCACTTGCTCAGGATGACTTTGCGAACGTTAGGCCACCCTTACTGCCACGGAAAGCGATGCTGCTGAGGCTTGCGTGCGTGATGTCCTCACCCGTACTGCCACTGCGTCCTCCTCTTGAATCCAATGTACATCACACCGGCTCGGACAACCACAATTCCATGCCGCCCAATGTTCGCGCGGCTCTCCTTCACGAGGCCACAACTGCCATGGCCAACCTCCATGCTCAGGCTGTCTTTGTCTAGAACATCCGCAAAAAGCATGAGAATGGACTGGAGTAGTGTTTCCTTTTACTGTTTATATGGTATGGCTATGAGGCTTTTAAACTTTTATTAGGCGGGCACGCCAAAACGCTGAACTTCATGTATCATGATGCTTTTCAATTTATAAGGAAACCTTTCATTAAAAAAAAAATTCCACGAGCAACTACAAGAAGTGGCGTGGCCACTTCCTCGGCATCCTCAGGCAGTTTGCCCTCTCGACCACATCCTCATCGACGACCCTAACGCCACCCTCGTCTAGACCACGTTGGACGTGCATGGACTGGCTATGTGCATCGTCTGGCTTGCTCTCAAGAACCAACTTGTCGAGTCCATTCATATGTGGCCTTGTCCTATGC